CCCAGGCAAAGTGGAAAATTATCAGGTAAAACAAGGCACCTAGTCCAGTTACACCCCTTTTTTTACTGGAAGAAATGCATGGCCGTGTGTTGACTGTGTGACCTGCCATGGAGTTATCATTTGGCCTGGAAAGAAGGAAACCTCTTAAGCTCTTCCCTGGCTTAATTCTGTTCTAAGCCCATGACTCCTGTATCCCAGATACATGTTCCCATCATCAGATTTGCTTAAGCTAGGGAGGTCATCTTTAATACACCAGTTGAAAAGCAAAATAGTTTCTTGAATGTTGATTTCAACTGATGCTTAATCCGCAAGGTTTTACATTTCTGGACAGTGATCATCTGGCTTGAGTGTCAAATCTTCTTGGCCCACTTTAATTTTTTGTTCTTGTTCCTATAAACTGAAACCACTTCAGACTGCTGGCTATGACAAGCTTGTTCAGTGGTGAAACCCTGAAGTTAGGGACCAAGTTTCCAGCAAGGGAGGAGACTTGAAAGCAGGTTTTCTCAGGGCTGAGTGCTCTAACCAGAGGTGTTTGTTTCCAACAGGACTGAGCACACGTGCAGCCAGTTGCTTTGTCCCTGGCCTTACACAAAACCCATGCAATGTGGGAGGCATTTCGCAAGCAGCACAGGGAACAGAATGAAATGCTGCTGGACATTGGAGCAGCATTGCTCTTTCAAGTGTGACTCCTGGCAGAAATCTAAGTGATTAATGATTAGACTCAAGTTCCTACGTAAATCTTGCCTTAAATCAAAACCCAGGAGGAATTTGAAATACCTGATAGAGGGGACCTCAGTTATAGTGGCCTGTTTTGTGCTATTTTGCTCTGATTTGTTTTGCGCTTTTAGATACATCAAATATAATTTCCTGTTTGAGCTATTTTGTTTTTTCCCATGTTAATAGAGAAATCCTTACTTGAAAGCAGTATCTTGGTTGTGTGGGAGAATGACTAAAAACCTTTAGAAAGGAATAAATAACTCTCTTAGGAAGAGTATTTTTGCTTTAGGCTTGAGGAAAGACAGCTGTGTCATTTTGTACATTGTGGACAGGCTCCAAGTGTGTGTACACATGGTCACACAGACAGACATACAAGAATTATTAGCTTGTATGTTCACATTAATAGTAAGGCAGGCATAATAATGACCAGGATTGAACTAGCTGTTACAGATTTGGTCATGATAGATGGAACAGGTCTATCAGATCAAGTTCTTGTATCAGCTACTGTTCCCCCAAAAGGGAAGGTAATCATTATGACACTGATCTGTCTCTTGGCACTCCACTAGCTTTATTGGGAAATCAGTGTGAATAAACTGGCTCAGCTGAACTCTGCTTAATCTGATCTCATGATTTATCCAGGCATCTGGAAAAAAAAGGCTAATGTCACTTTGGCCAATGAATGAACATACATCTGGTTTTAAACACTAAGTCAATGAACACGAATTAAACAGAATCTTGTCTGAACTTTTGAAAAGGATATTTAACTTTGTCAACTATACCACACTTTAAAATACCCACACTAAACTCATGCTTACTCTGTGTCAGCAAAATCTTAACAGCACAAGACAGATGACTCTTTAACTTTTGTACAAGGGTAGGTCAGCTGTATGGCTCAGGACACAGGTCAGAAATAAGGTAAAGTCATAATTATTTATATTTTTTTTCAGTTAGCTATGAGCATCATATTGTATAAGGACAGCAGCAGGAAGATTCTATTTTCTCTGTGGTATACACAACTTCAGAAAACATCACTAAGGACCATTTTTTTGCACTCTGTGTTACTTTGCTTGTAAGCTTCATTTGGAGAAAAAGCTGTCCTGGTCCTTAATTATGCTGGGTACCAGAAATCCTGGTCAGAGACTATTCTGAGTCACAGTCTCATCTGTCAGTGCCTTTTCTTCTTTAACACTGGGGCCTCCAGGCTTTCAGAATATGGCATGATCTGAAACATCATTGTATCACAAAATCTCATTCACTCTTTTGAAAAGAGCCACTTGCAATCTAAATATACTTGCCAAAAGAAACTAATCCTCACAATAGCTTTCCTTCAACATGTTATTTTTCTTACAGATGCTCACCTGTTTGCCAATGCCTAAATCTGCTTTATTTTTTTCTATATGTAAAGAATAATCTGTGGAAGAAGAATCCCAGATGCATAGAACTAATGTTATTAAATGCTGTACAGCTCCCCTGAAACACATATAATCTGAAATTCTGAAAACAACTTTCAAGTCAAAATCAAGAACTGTATGCTTGCTTATAGAAACTCCAGTATCATTTCAGCATATTACTCTGTGGAGAAGAATAACAATTAATAATGACAATAATAATTTTTCTCAAAAAAAAAAAATCTGAAGCATACTCTGGTACAAAATTGTCATAGCTTTAATTAGTATTCCTCAGGGGGTAAATTTACTCAGTGTGTGTGACTTAATTAAGAGTCCACAGAAACCCCTCCAGCACATCATCGGACACAGATCATAACTGTAAATAGCATTACTGTTATAACAGTTTTTTAATATTAGTTTAATTGCATATCATGAATTTTGCTTTGGTTCCTGAATAGGAACTCTCACAGATGCTTCTGTATTTTGGGCTTATCTACCTTAACGTGTTTGAAATTTAACTCCTCTGCTACAGCGATACCCCATACAAGGTCCTTGCGATTTTGGGGCAAGGATACGTGAAAATGAGAGAAACAAAATCCTGAATCATCGAATTGTTTGTATCTCTATATCAAGCACGTTTTTGTGCAGGAAGGGGGTAACAAGGGCAGGACTGAGAGCTTCAGCTCCAGGCCGGACGCCGTAAATTGGAGTTGCAAAGCGGCAAGCGTGAGGTGAAAGCAGAGAGGCCTCCCGTGTGCCAGGCTGCTGAGGCCTGAGCCCCTCAGCGCCGGGCCGTGCCCCGTCCGGCCGCAGAGCCGCGGCAGCGCCCCGGGCCCGCAGCCCGGTGCCGGCGGCCGGTGCCCCGGCGGTGACGTCAGGCCGCTCGCCGTGACGCGTGCGCTCAGCGCGGAGCGGAACCGGCCTGCCCGGGGAGGGAACCGCGCTCCGTGGGGGAAGCGAGCCGGCGGCCGGGAGGTACCGGAGCGCACGTGGGACGCGCTCCTCGCGTTCTGCTCCCTGCCCGTGCGCCCCGCAGCCCGCGCCTGGCTCGGGGCGGGGGGGGGGGGGGGGGGGGACACGCAGGGCTGGGGGGACACGCAGGGACAGCGCGGAGCGGCCGCGGGGACACGCAGGGACGGCACGGGCGACTCCGCTGCCACCGTGGCACCGGCGGCGCGCGGGCTCGGGCTCGGTCCCGGCGTGCCCCGCGGGCGCCGCTTCCCGCTGTCCGTGCCGAGGGCTCCACCTGCAGCCGGGCCCGGGCGGGAGCCCAGCTCAGCCCCACGGGCGGAGCAGGGAAGGAGGGAGGCGCCGGGCTGGGCCGGGCACGGCTGGGGGTAGCCCGCTCGCCCTGGTTGAAGGTGCCCTCCTTGGGCTGGCAGCCGGGCGCTGTGGGGGGGTGCCCTCGGAGCCCCGGCGTCCCGCATTACTTAGTTCGGCTCTGAAAGAAGAGCGAAGGTGATAGAGGTGCCTGCGTGTGCCTGTTGCTCCAAGTATAGCTGGTTTTCCCTTCCGTTGTTTATCCAGGGAGCAGCGGGGCATGAATCCTGCTGCAGCTCTTCCCTCCCAAGTCCCAGCTCCAGGGGGCCTGTGTGGCGTTTCTGTGTTAAAGCACAAACTGTATGTGCTGTGTTGCAGGTAGGCCCCGCCTGTGAATGCCTGGTCAATGCACGAGGGGCTTTCTCTGCTCTGAGAAGTTGCCAGGGAAGGCAGACACGTGGGTCGGTTTCAGGCACTTGTGAATACTTAATTAGGGAAAAGGACACACCGTCTGCTTGTTCAGACTCTGTCACAGAAGACCGAACTCATCATGCCACTGCATGGGTTGGTGGTGGCCTGGCACACTCGGTACCATGTGCTTTTCTGATCATCACTCATCCAGAAGGGTTTAATAGAGCTCAGTGAGGCCAAGGGTAAGGTCTAAGGACTGGCACACTCTTTAGTGATGTATTGAATAGCTTCCATATGTGTAGGAGTAACTGAATAGACCTGAAAGGATACAGGTGGAGAGTGAAACAGTGAGGGGAAGGTATGAGGAGAAATGCATAGAATTATCTAATCAGAAAGCAAATTAAGAACAAAAGGAAGTACTTTCCCACAAATAATAAAACTGGTTGCCTCGGGATGAAGACAGTATAATTGGGTTCAAAAAGGATTTATTCAAATCTATGGAAAAAAGATTCATTGTTACTGCTTGATTCTGCCCCTGTCTCCTCAGGAAATCCCAAACCAGCTGATTGGTTTCTAGAGCTTGCAGAATAAAAGATCATTCTACAGAAGTGCTTCCTTTGTGTACTCCATTCTGAACATCAAAGCTAGCTACTTCAGAATAATTTCGTATTTCAAAAAGCTTTTTTTCTTCCTTCAAAAGCAGAAACAAAAAACCCCAGGCTAGTGGTAAAACACAGTCTGACAGTATTAAACCAGTGTAAATACAATAGTTTCAAATCATACTCAGTAACATTTGCACTGGTGGTGTCCAACACAGATACTTTGGATGGAGTGAGACCTTGAGGCTAAATGATTTCAGCACAAGAATAGTGGTTGCAAGAACAATATAATTACAACCGGTACATCAGCTTTGAATAAACAGCTGAACAGTACATTGTGGCCTTTAGGTGCATAAATCACATAATTCATCAATTGAATAAGATTTGCCATAACTCTAGTATTGGAATGCTAGATTATGTGCATGATTTTAAATTTTTTTTAATACTTCATAAATATTTAAGAATTAACTTTCATTTGTAGAGGTGGTGTCTAATTTAGCTCAGCTGTTTATTTTGAATAAAAAAATGAATGCAGATGAACGAATAAAAACCAAATCACTCATTTTGTAACCTGCTCTTACAAACTGCTGCAAACAGGTAAAGGCTGTGAGCTGACAAGAACAGCAGTTAATGTCTTGCTCTACTGGACACAAAGTTGATGGTTTATTTGCAGTTTCTGGAATATTTTGAAGATGGGCAAGGTGTGTGCTGTCTTTGGAGGATCCCGTGGGATAGGCAGAGCTGTGGCAGAGCTCCTGGCACAGAAGGGCTGCCGCCTGGCCATCCTTGCTAGGAACCTGGACGTGGCCCAGAGCACTGCCCGTCACTGTGGTGGTATGTATGCTGCTGGGCACCCCTCCCTGCTCCCTGCTTGGGGGACTCGTGGAAAAACCCCTCTTGTTTAGCTAGATGGAAAGGAAAATAAAGGCTGAGGAACATTAAAAACCAGCTGTATTGCTTTGATTCTGTTTTCACAATAGTCGTTGAGAAAGTAGATTGCCTTTTTTATCTGCATGATGGCAATTTTAAGATGAGTGGAATTGTTTGGGGTCACAATAGAGGTGGTGTGAAATGAGTCATCCTCAGCTCCTGAAGAAGCCAGAACTGAGACCAGTCTGCTCACACTGAACTTCTGACTCCAAAGGGCAAAAAATATAAAACAAGGAATTGTCACATAACTAATGAATACTATACTTGAAAATCATCTTTATTTAATTGCCTGGGGATTAAATAGGTTCCTTAAATTATAACTAGTTCAACATCTGTTTTGCAACTGAGCTGATACATTCTGAAGGAGGTTTATGAATTAAATACAGCTTTTACTGTGACATTATATATATTTCGATACAGCAGGACATCTGGCACTTAGCTGTGATGTATCCAGTGAACAAGAAGTCCAAAAGGCTTTTGAGGAGATGCAGAGGAATTTGGGTCCTATTAACTACTTGGTTAATGCAGCTGGGATCAACAGGTTGGTTACTCCTGACAAGACAATAGGTAATTCTAGATGCAGCCTACTGTAAGGTGCTCTGGCCCTTTGTGCTTAGTAAGAGTGTTGTTAATGAGCACATCTGAAAACAATATTAAGTCCTTGCCAATATTTTGTTTCTGATGGCAGTAAAATGCTAACAGATGATACAGCTTTCACTGTAGTTTCTGCATTCTAAGTTTGACTTCCCCCTCTATTCTTTCTTCTACTTTTTCTCCCAGAATGGTCCAAAACAGTGCTTGCAAAGGAGGCTCTGTGTCTAGAAGCATGGCTAACTTGTTTTTTGCTATGTGTAGTTCTTGCAGCATTGTCATTTTGAATGCTCAAATGTATGGAGCCACATACACCCCATTAATATTCTGTCCAACAGTCTTTTTTTATGAGTAAACATGATCAGGGCGTTTTTCACTGAATTCTTTGGGTTTTTTTTGGTTTGTTTGTCAGGGATGGTTTGCTACTGAGAACCAAGACTGAAGATATGATAGCCCAGATTCACACGAACCTTTTGGGAACAATGTTGACATGCAAGGCTGCTCTAAAGGTCATGATTCAGCAGCAGGGAGGTGCTATTGTCAATATAGGTAAGTTGTTTGTGTCAGCCAGTGGAGTTCTGTGTACTAGTCTTCTAGAAATGTTTAGCAGGTGTAACATATTACATTGCTTGTTACAATTTACTTGTTTTCCTTTTATTTAGACATTCTAAATTTAGCATTTCTTTATGAGTGCTTATTCTTTTGTGTAATTTCAGCAACTTCTAAATAGCTTTTTTCAGTAATAAACACCTCAGAGTTTTTATTTTGTTGAAAAAAGAAACTTTGCTATTCTTACCAATTACTTTGCTCTTCTTACCAATTCTTTCAATATATATACCAGCTGCTGGCAATTAACTAAGAATTGATAGGTTTAGTCAGTTTCTTTCTTTATTTATTTAATGTGGGCAAGGATACTTTTTTTAGAAAAGTCTTAATTTTACTTTCCTGGTGCTTGTTGGTCAACATAGATACATGAATTATACAAAAATCATGACTAATTGGGACATTTGCTTATCCTAGCAGGCTAAAGTGCATAAAGTCATGCTTATTTTACTCTTCTTGTGACCTCATTTTTCATTCCAAGTTTAAAACTAAAATGATCAAGTGAGTACAATGTTTCAAGTTACCCATTTAATCTTCTCTTTGATGTTTCTTTATTTTAGGGAGTATTGTAGGACTTAAAGGCAACTCTGGTCAGAGTGTGTATAGTGCTACCAAGGCAGGATTAGTTGGATTTTCACGCTCTCTTGCTAAAGAAGTAGCAAAAAAGCAAATTCGAGTCAACGTTGTTGCTCCAGGTTAGTTCTTGAGGAATTCCTGCATCCTTGACTGTTGCAATTCATTAAGACTGTGGATATTTCTTGTACTCTGAAAGTAACTTAAGACTGATTTCTATTATTTTCTTCAGCTTTGTAAGTAAATATTTTTAATATATTTTGTTTGTTTGTTAGAAGTATAATACATTCTTTTAGAAAACCTTCAGTCTTTTCAAGAGAACACCAAGAAATTTAGAAGAGTGAATCTACCTATTCCTCTATCCATTATTACATAATGAATGTAGTTTTTTTCCTTTGATCCTTCTTCAGAAGTTGCTGTCCTTGCAGATGGAAGGATTAGATCTAATTAGAGACAGAGAGCTACCCTTGTCTCCAGCTAGAGGATGCTTGTTTGTTATTACAGTAACATGACAAACCATAAGAAAGCTGTCATAAAAGCACCCCTATCTCCCTGTAGTAAAAGGAGGAAATCCTGAAAGTTATTTCTGTGAGCAAAGGCTGTGCTTTTGTAAGATGATCTAGTTCAAGCAAACTGCCACCCTTAAGGAAAAAACCCTTCTATATTTTCTGAATTTTTCCACCCATAGCTGTGTACACTGCTGCTCACCTTCTGCTACCTCTGATGCCTTTCAGAATTCCACGTGAACCTGTTCAGCTTGTGAACTAGGCAGGAAAAATACTTTTATTCTTTAGTGAGTTGAGCAGCTCATCCACAGCCATCATAAAGGGGCAGAGTATTACAGTAGAAAGCAAAAGGGAGTCTTTCCCTTCTTGATGGCAGCTAGAAAGCAGGTAAGATCAGCTCTTTATAAAGCTGCAGCTTTTGTGTAGAGTTGTGCAGCAGTGGGAAAGCCAAATCTCAGATAATGGAAAACTGTAAAAAAGGTCCTTCAAAAATGTCAAGAAATATTCTTCAGATGAGTGCTCTAATAGAAACTATGCAAGAACTGCCATAAGTTCTAAAATAGAATGCAGACACTTTAAAGTCAGAGAGGGTTTCTTGCCAGACATTTTGTGCTCATATTTTAATTGAGAACATTTTGGTGAAATGAGTATATTTTTTCTTTTAGAAAAGTGATATTAAATATAGTTTTTGGATTGAATTTTAGTTACCCTTTCTTGTTTGATTTTGTTTGGGTTTTTTAAATGGACTTCTATAGATCTCTGCATTTTGGTTATTGCATCATTGCTTCCAAAAATGAAAAGTATTTTATTGGTTAAATAATAAAGTGATTTGGCCATCAAATGATGTGGGCTGCTTTGGGAGACTTTGAAGAATGGTAGCTGGTGCTGAATCCTGGTAATAGATTTCACTTTGTAAGATTCAGTGGGAAATCCACTAGATAAATTTAGTTGAAGGTTAGGTAACTCTTCCTAAATCTCTCTGCTCTTAGGCTTTATTCACACAGAGATGACAGCTCATTTGGAAGAAGATCAGTTGAAGAAAGCAATTCCCCTTGGAAGATTTGGAGAGCCTCATGAAGTTGCACAAGCTGTTGTCTTTCTTCTAGAATGCCCATATATTACAGGGAGTGTTCTGGTTGTAGATGGAGGCTTGCAGCTTATGACCTAAGTACTGCCTTGAATAAAGGACTGCTTCAATGTCATGATGGTAATATAAATATATTCTAAATAAAGGGAGAGGGTTGGAAATCGTTTGAAGATTGATGTACATAATTGACTTGGTCTTTTTTAGTCAGAGGAGAAATTCAGCAGCAGTGAGGTGCAATGTGTGTGTTTAGCTGCCTGAAGAGTCTGTTTGGTATTACAAAGTCTGTGTATGAAACAATTTAAAAAAGATCTGGTTTTGATACAGTGATAGCTTTAATAATGTGCTGATATGTTTTTAAAGCACTGTATTTTTATAAAGTCCTGTTTTCTAATTTGGGAAAGAATGAGATTTTATTTTCATTATCATGTTACACAAAGGTTAATAAAGTGCAGAGACATGTTTATTGGGTGGCAGGTATGATTGCATCAAGTTTTTCAAGTAGGGCAAAGATTGTGAACTGCATAGTTTTGCATTCTTATCAGTTAGTCCCTATAAAGTAGCAAGGAGTTTCCTTTGAGCTTTGTTTGTTTGTACCTAACACTACAAAGCTAGGAACTTCTAGATCTTCAGCATACCTGAATTGCCTTTAGAAGCTTTAATTATATGCACTGTGTTTTTATAAAGACAAAGCCTACTCGGTTCCATTCCTGAACGTATGTACAGCACTCACTCAATCCAGGGGCTCTGGTGTGTGCCCACTGGAGGATTGCTGCAGCACTGGAGCTGCTAATCCTGTCATACTCTCAGCTTGAGCTGCACATGCACTGCTGAACACTACAGCTGCACACCTTGCTCTGTAAGACACTGCAAGGACTCAGTAGATACTTAGAACATGTATCACTTCCAGAGCATGAAGTCCAGGTGTTTTGTGTTTTGCTCTGTATCTTCATGAGCACTCAGTTCAGCTCTTAAGTTGATGCTCCCTCATATGTATGTATAGTCAATAAAATGGCCATTTATTTTATCCAAAGCAGCTTTTGAAGCACAGTAATTATTCTGCTGTAAATGATTCTGAGTGTTCCTGTCTTGCTGAAAACTTACCAAATGTTTGACCTCAGGCTTTTCTATTGATCTTGAGTAATTTTTGATAATTGATGTTTTTATTATCTCTGAAAAAAGCTATGAATGTGATTCAGGACCTTCACTTCTTAGCTCTGGTGTTCATTGCATCATGATCCAGATGTTGATTCAGCTTTTGAAATTACTTCCCATCTTGGCACACACCACAATACAGAAAGAAGAGATCTCACTGATGATAACTGTGTCTTTAAAGTTGGAGATTTTCTTCCTTTGTGCAGCTGAGAAGTTTTGTCTTTGTGCCAGAAAACAATACATGTTCAAGCTTCTTGCAGGTATGTATTGAGAAATAATACCAGGAGTACTTGTATGATCAGGAGATTTTGCAGTTGGTTGTGCTACTCACTTTGGAATATCAAATACCATAGAAGTAATCCTTCCAGGAGTCGCTATCTTCCTGTTATCGCTGTTATGTGTCATATGTGTCTTTGCACCAAAAATATAATTGCTAATTATGTTTTTCCTTGATAGAAGGAGTTGGCCAGAGATGATGTGAATTTTTCCAAGGGCACTGAAGGTGAGGAAGCACAGCTGGTACATTTTCACTAGTCAAGTAGGAATATGTCAGTGACTTGGCTGCTGCCCATACCTGCCCTTGGTCTTTTACAAACAAACCCTGTGTGACATTTCTTGACCAAAAGCCAAACCTAAGAAACTAGAAATAATTTTCTTTTAGAAAGTTCTGACCCTAATTATTATTATCCTTTTTTGGGGGGGGGGGGGGGGGTAAGGGAGTTGGTAAATAAGTTATTAGCAATTAAATTTTTAGTTTATATTTGCAATTAAAACCTGAAATAATTCTGTCAGAAGAATGTCAGCATGCCACAGAGTAATTTCTTTAAAAAGTTCCCATACATACTATGTTTTTATTATTGCTGTTGCCATAGGGCCAGACTGAAGTGTTGGTAGCTTTAAATCACACTTTTAAAAAGCTCCTTCCCCCTCCCCTTTCTTTGAACTGGTAAATTAGGACAGAAAACTGGTTAACATAGTGCTGAATCTGTCTGGTCTGGTGTGATGTCCTGAACAGGGGATGTAGGGACTGTGCAGGGTAGGTGACAGGTCAGGTGTGTGTCTCCTTAGAAGACTCTGGTTCCTCCAGCAGTTTGTGACAGGGATATTTGAACCCACCAGTGTGCAGCTCTGGTTGAGGCCTGCAGGCATTAGAAACAACCCTCAGGTGCTCTGTGTTGCTTTTGAATTTGTAGACTTCTTATCTTATCCTGCCTGCCTTAGTTGTTTCTGTTTCGTACTGAAGAGTCATATTTCTTTTAATTACTTGTTGCTGGAGAGCTCTTTTGTATCCTAAATTGTCTTTGTTGAACTTTGCTTTACTCTTCCAGTTTTTCAAGGAGGGATCACCAGGTAGAACTTCTTGCAGATACACTGTGGATCTATTTTTAAAAATGAAATTATTTTATGTTTTATTTTATACTGTTTCCAAAAATGATGCCTAGGTGTTTTGCTTTTTCCTAACCTTTGCACTTGTATTTTCAGAACAGTAACTCAGTCCTGAATAATTAACAGTCAACTTGGAGTTCATTTCCATATATATGTGCAAAAGTCTGAATTTTTGTATTTTTTTCAGCATGAATTGTTCTCAAATATCTACAGTGAGTTTGGTTTCCTGGTTTTAACACCTATTTCCTCTGTGAAATCATTCTGCAATTTTTTAATTCCTTAATCTCTTTATAACTTTAACTTGGTGTTACTGGAATACACTGTGGCATTCAGAAACTGCTGTCTCAGAACCCTTAGAAATAGGTTATACTTTGCCTGCCCCTACAGAGGAACTGTGGTATTTTATTGGCACTGCACATCCTTAGGGGAGAGAACAACTGCTGATTCATACCTTCATACCCTTTGTCTTCTATCTTTAAACAATGTACTGATATGACAACTTCTTTGGCAGCACAACATCTTTAATAGTTTTTGGCAAGGGATTGTGTCAGATGCCTTTTAGAATTTCAAGTATGCACCATTATTAGATCTCCATACTCTCATCTCTTTTAAGTTTTTTTTTAGAAGAACTCTAAAATGTTTATCAAACATGACTTTCATTTGCAAAAACAACTCTGTGTGTTTATCCTGTTGTTTTCTTGGCTTTAGAACAATTTCTGGCACTTTGCTATGTAGAGAAAAATATATTTAGGCTTTAATTCCTTGAATCCCTCTGGAATCTCTTCTCAAAAAACAAGTGGTCCTTCCACCCACTAAAATCACAAGAACTTGCTGTCACGTTTGCCAGCTTCCGGTCACTCCAGGCAGGTTTCACTCAGAAGTCTCCCACTGCAGTTACTTGGTTTCTGTTAGAACTGGGGAGTGAAAGCCTCATCTTTCCCCTTTGTCACTTTCCTCTGTAACCTCTCCCAATGTAAAGGAAGGAGTAAAACCTTCAACAAGGTGCCTCTAGAAGTTCTCCTTGAGTTCCTCCATGGTACCAAAAACTGATCATAGGGATTTGTTCAGAGTCTGGGGATTTTTTTCCTCAGTAGGTTTTCCTTCCCTGAGCACTTTGCTTTTTATTTGATCATCTGCTTGCCTTCTTCAGGCATGGTTCCTATTCCTGAGGTGCCAGTGTGCTTTTGCAGATTATTGCTCTGAACTCGATCTGGCTATAAATGTTACATTCATTGATGATTAAATTTGACTCCTAAAGCTAGATTGCTGGTTTTACAAAGGTTGATGTTTAAATGCCAGGAGCTTCCCCCTTTCCACAAAAATTGTAATTTGATGTGTGTATTTAAAATTGTTGTACTGAAGTTCAGTACATTCAATCTTGGTGTTGTTATTGGGCTGCATCTTAATTTTGACTTGTCTTTTTGACTTAATTTAAATATTTTATTATATGTTGCTTATTTTTTATGGAAGTCTGTGGTAGTGGACTTCTGTCTTTATTAATAAACTGAGTCAATAGAAATAAAAGTGAAATATATGCAGAAATAAAAGTCACCATTAAAAAAAAAAATCACTATTTGAAGGTAGCATTTTGGCTCAGGCTGTGTACAATTGGGGTGACCACAGCCAGAGCTGGGTGGCCCTGATCAGTTGCATGAAAAAGAATATATTAAAATAGTGATCTTGGCCTCTTCAGTGTGACATTTATCCAACATACTCATGATTGCTGTCTGTCATCACAGTTACATTGCTGGCCTTAGACATCTCAGATGTCATAGCTATGGCCACACATATCCATCTTAAAGGTGGGAGTACCAATAGCATCTAATAACAGAGTTTACCTTGCTAGGTTTGGAAATTCAATCCATGTTTGACTGGATGATTTAATATGTTGATATTTATTTTTATGACTCTTCTATATATTTTGTATCAATATCTTTTTGATCTTCCATCATATTTCTGGTATGTCTGTTTTGTCACTGTCCTTGATTAAAAGCAAACATCTGGGCTTTACATCTTGTGCTGCTGGCATTTATGCCAAGCTGTATATGAATGTTTGGGGTTTTCTACAAATGGGTGTTTGTGAGTCAGACTGCACTTGACTGACTTAAAATGATTACTCAATTGAATTTTTAAAACTTCAGTGCACTATCATATTAGATATAGTTTCTGTGATTCCATTCCTAATGGAAATGAGAGAATGTGCTCTTATCCATCTGACGTTTCTTCACCTGCTATGTTGCTTTAAAGTCTCCTATAATCTCTTAAATATTAGCATCTTTTTGCCTCTTTTTCTCTTTAAGAACAGAGTATTTTCTGGATTCCCACTACTCCATGTTTCTGCAGTTTCTAAAGAATCTGTAGTCCTGTTCTTAGAACTGTTTTTTCAGGCATGCATTGGGACTTTGCCTCATCCACCTAGTTTTGGGAGCATTTAAAGAAGGCTGCAGTGCAAATCTGGTATTTAACTTACTCTGTGTTTTATTCCACATCTTTTTTCCTGCCCCACCCCATCTCTCTGGTTTGTACATGACCTTTCACTACCACCACAGAATTTCTAAAGAGACCATCAAGGCAGGTTTTGAGGGTGGCTGCTTTTGCAGCTGTCATTTAATTCAGCATGCAGTCCTCTTACACAGCAACCCTCTTTCTGACTCACCCATAATGATTGCTTTGAGTTTTTACTCAGCTGGGTTCCTGCTTCAGAGAGGATATCCTTACTAAAAGAAGGTTACACTGTCATTTCTGTGACCTGCCTTGTCACTACCAAGTTAGGAAACCTAAAATTGTTCCTCTGTTGGCTTTGAGTTTGATTCAGTTCAAAGTTCATAGGTAGTGTGATTTGCATGTTCTGGGGTTTAGTTGAAGCACATTGTAGACCTAGAATGTTAATTGTTTTGTATGTCTTCTCTGCATTCTTCTAAT